TATATAGGATCCTAGGTAAGGAGGTTGCATTAATTCGCAGGGAGTTACATTTATGTAGGGAGAGGATTTTTTAAATGAATTAATGAATGTATTTATTTATTTTTTTGTTTGTTTGTCACATCCATATGCATATTTATTTGAGCGGTACAATTTTTAGAAGGTAGTTTTCTGTATAAATTTGGGGATGCAGAGCAGAGTAAGGTCACTGTATGTGGAGTGGTAAGGAAAGTGTGCCTCACTGGATGGAACGGTAATCCGTAATCCGAGATATATGATGTAACCACCACCACAGCTATTATATAATTATAAAACTTTATTTCCTACAAATATAAAAGCAACATTTATTAATTTTTTCTGTTGGATTTTAATATTGTTACAATGGTATTGTGGCCATCTCCTCTTCATCTTCATTATTTTGCAAGCCTCCACCTTCTTGCTGTTGGCCGAGTAGAAGTCAAATGTAAATTTCATTACCCTAATTAAGAAATGTAACTGGTTGGATTAGAGAACATTTAATTATGTGAGAAGAGCTGCTGAAAAGTCACGTGATGTACTCATGAACCTAGTCGCACTTAGTAGAGCTCCGTACGTATGGCCCCTTTTTGCTGATTTTTTTTTTCGTTTTATTTTAAGTTTTATTCATTAATAATACTTTCCCAGATGTCACACAATCGGAAACAGCAGGAGTTGTCTCCATCGGCTTCTCCGATTAAGAAGAAATCCAAACCACCGACCACGGGCGATATGGTGGACAAGATGGCGAACACTGTTGCGCACTTTGAGGACATTTTAAGAACTGTCAGTTCTTAAGCTTCTCACATGTCAGTTGTTCAGTCGCTATGCTCTAAACTGGATCTTCTTACAGGGGAGATGAGAGAACAAAACAAAGTTGTCGCAGATCACGATAGGCGAGTAACCGCGCTCGAGCAACAGATAATGGATTTACAGGATGGCAATAGGCGCAGCAATCTGCGTTTGGTTGGATTGCCTGATGGTTCTGAAAAGGACGACCCTATGGGCTTTTTGAAAAGATCGCTACCGATGTGGCTCCTGTCTCTGGTGGGCAAAGAGATTGAAGTGGAACGAGCGCATCGCGTGTACACAAGGCTGTCCTCAGATCGTGCTAAGCCACAGGTTTTTCTCTTTAAAGGTCACATATTTTACACCTTTCTGGAGTTTTATTTTAGGTTTTGATGTCCTTAAGAATATATATTTGTGGTATAAGTACCAAAAACCATCTCAATAATTTTTTACAGCTCCTTTCTCAGGAGCTCTGCTGAGAACAGGTCGATTTTGGCCTGTCTAATTAATATTCATGAGCCTCTCTTCTGATTGGTCTGTTGTTTTCTGAGTGACGCACGGCCAGGACAACCACAGGTAACTAGGGTCAGCCGACGTCACAGCGCTAGCCGGAGGCAGCAAAACAAAGGGGAAACGGGAGGCGACCCATTTAAACCAGTGCAGATTCGGCTACATAAGGAGCTTAAAATATCATCTTGTTGTGATGTTGGGTGCCAGAATCGATGTAATACAGCCTGAAATTAGAAATCTGATCGCATATCTGCTACCACTGCCAGACAAAAACCGATGACAGCTGTGGTTAAACGCGATAAAACGAGCAGACTGGACGGAAACGATCGTCAAAAATGCTCGTGTTTGCAGCCCACACTTCTTATCAGAAAAGGTTCAATAAAGTATTGTCTTTTGTTGTTATGGGTCATCATGACTAGATAGACACGGTGAGTTTGTCTTTACTACACACATTAGATGTGATCCACCTCACAGTAACAATCCTGTCAGATCGTCCATCCTTTGAGTGTAACGTTACAGGTCGGCCGATCTGGTTTCGTGGTTAAAGTTAACCTTTTTGACATGTTTCCATGTTGTCCTTGCTCAGCAATAGCGTGGACACGATGTTGTCTGGGGGTTTGGCAAAAGGAGGGTGGGACTGTGGGCGGTGCTAGGGGTGGTGACTGAAGGCGGTGACTGTGTAGTTCTGACGTCACCTTTTTCCGGAAGTCACAACGGTTCGTGAAAAATCACAGCTACTTTATGCAGGCTGTGTGCAGTTTACTGTGGACTGACTGTTTTGAAACGTATATGGTAGTTACATAGCACCTAGACCTCAGTTATCATGAAAAAGCCAGGAAATTTCTGTTTTGACAATATGGGACCTTTAAACTTTTGGGGTACACGGACAGGGAGCTCATTCTGCGAGCCGCCAGACTTCATGCCCCGGTGAAAACATCCGACGGAGCAACGCTGATTATTAGGTTAATAAGAGGTTTATCTGTCAATCAGATGTAAGTTGCATTAGTTACTATAGCTAACAGACATCGGGCCCGTTTTCTTTCAGAATCATCATTCGCCAATGGAAAGGAAAAGTTAAATACTACAGCATTTTATTTGATGAAAATAAGATAAAGAAGCTCACATTATACAGATGTGTGACAAATGAGTTTAGGGGATGTGGGGGACTTTTAATGAGATGTAAATTCGTCCCCGCACTTTTTGTGTGTTCAGGCAGGGGTTTTCAAGGGCCAGTATGAATAAATCCAGATTTAAATGCAGATTTCAAAGAGGCAAGATAGTCACATCGTTTTATTCAATCCAAAATGATGTGAACATTGTGGAGTGCTAAACACTCTCATGCAGGGTGTGTTTTTTTTCTTACGCAAACCCGGAGGGCGCTCTAAGCGCTAAAGGAGAAGTAATCTCGTGCTCAGAATTTATGACGCACCAGGAAATTCCTAATATGGACAAAGGCATCCAGCTAAGATGAATAAAAAGCAGAAACATTTTGACTAATAAAACGTGAAGACAAACACACGATTGTGACAATAAATGGTTTATGTGTGTTTTTCAAGTCATCTACAGGTAATAAATAAATAAAGTATATGAATGATGCAGCTGGCATATCATTTATTAAAGTACAGAAAATATAAAGTATATTTTTTACCTTATTCTGTGATGAAAATGGGGGGAAAAAAATTTGTTGTGTATAAACCAATCATGAAATTGTCATTTGGAAAAAATATGCAAAACAACAAAAAATATAAAAAATTGTGTGTGTATGTATATATATATATATATATATATATATTATAGAATACAAATTATTAATTATTGTATATTATTTCTTATCCAATTCAAAATAAGAGATAAGAAAGAGATATAAAAAGATATAAATAAATACATACATAAATAAATGTATTACATTTGACATTTCTGTATTTATGGTTGAACTCATCTTTTTCTGTTGCTTGTTTACTGCACGTGGACAGGTCACCAGGTTTTTGCATAGTTTAGTGACAAATCGTACCAGCGTACTTTAAGGTCAAAATGCGTACAGGTTGGCAGGTCTGCATTAACACTATTCTAGACAATAGTTAACATGAAATAATACTTTTAAAGCTTTTTTTTTATTTTTTATAAATCTTTACTTACATACATTTCTACATACTCCATATGTCATGCCATAGCATCATTAAACTAACATCTAACAATGGATAAAAGACTCCATAAAGGCTGCCGTGTAATTTGCACCCTGACTAAGCATTTAAAGAAATTAGGGGAAGTGCAAATAACCTTAAAGAATGCAGAATCGAATTGTTAATCGAATCAAATTGAATTGTGAATCATCTGGAATCAAATTGTTTTGAATTTGCAAAAAAACGTTCTTGAATCATGAATCAAATCGATTCGCTGTCTGCCCAAAGCCCTACTTGAAATCATCAACCGTGGGTCATTCGGTTACCGGGGGTTATCTTTCTTTGTTTCACACTGCTCATAATTTACCCAGGGTTAAGTGCAGTCTAAAAAGCCCTTTAATATTCTAAATGTTATTATTGCTAAATGTCTAACTTAAATGTTTTTTTATGTTTTGTTTTTTTGTTCATGTCTCACAATCAGTGTTCCCTCAATTTTTTTTTTTCTTGCTGAGCAAAACATTTCTCTATTGGGTGGACATTTCGGCCACCTGAGCAAAAACATTCTTTATACCAGACCTGTACAGCGCGCACACAAAAAGTGTGTAACTTTTAACTTTAATGTGCTATTTATACTGTATGTGATTTGACCCTTAATGCAACTAAATGATGCACATTTTAGGTAACCTGAGAAAACATTTTTACAGTGGTGTATTACCAAGAAATTCTATTAAAAATAATTTATAAAATCATGCAGAACAGTTCACTTCTTTATAATAATATAATATAATATAATAATATGAAAAAATGAAGCAGATATTGCTCATCAATTCCTTTGTTGAGGTCAATTATTTATTGGGTTTATAATATAGGTCTAATATAATATAATATAAAAAAAACTGAAGCATTTAAATTGATAGAACAGAAAAGAATAGAATAGAAAACAAACTGAAACCTTTAAACTGAGATATGTAAACTAAATAATTTAAATAAAATGTGAACGTGAATTCTTATATAGTTATCTAAACATCCCCATGTACAGATTGCACACTACTACACTTGTGTGTAACTGAAAATGTCTCCGAGTTTTGTTAACGCTCTGTGCCATTCATCATCCACTATTTCCACCACTTAATCAAGCCAATCTTTAATACATGATGACGTTTTATTTTACATGTCATTGCGTTTGCATTGACTCTCGTGTTGAGCCGTTTCCTCTGCAATCATTAAAGAATTTGATTTCTGAGGCGACTCAAAACCTAACCTTAATTACCGAGCTCGGAGCCCTCTCCCCGGACAGCACGCCAAATACGCATAAACTTTACTCGGTTCATTATAAGTAAGTGTGAACTCGTGAAACCGCATTCACCAGGTCCAAACTCTATAGCGACACCACCTCTACAGCGGTTTGCCTATGTAGGCTTTCCCAACTCATTTTTGCGTGTACGCGGCACACTATTTCTTCTGCACAGTCGCGACGTACGCGCAGCTTAGAGGGAACATTGCTCACAATGTTTGTTAGAGATCAGACACACATTCACACTAATGACGGTCTCTCTTTAGCTGTTCCAGATTCAGGTCTGTCTACAGCTGCTGTAGCAGGGATTGTTGTTGGTGTTCTTCTGCTCGTGGTTGCAGCTGCTTTTGGGATTTGCTATCGCCACAGGAGATATCAAAACGGCAAGTATCACCTAGATACTATAGCAAAAGGAAAACATCTCTATTTTGCAAAATTAGCATTTAATTGTGTGCGATTGTTTTTCAAATCAGACAAGGAAAGAAGCAGACGTTCTGCAGTTCTGTAGAAATTCCAAGTGTGAGGTAAGATACTGCATCACTGTAGTGTTTCTTTGTAGAAAACTCTGACTTCACATTTCTCTAATTTCACTGTGCTGACAAAAGCATCCCAATGGAAAATAAAAATTTCAAACAGCAAGGGCATAGGTCATGCTTTTGACATTGGAGGGGACATAAAAGCAGAGTACCCCCCCCCCCCTCCCCACCTCTGTGTCATCTAAACTCTTAATTTATAGCTTATGGTAACCAACATATTTATAATTTCGTAATTCATAAACAGAGGTTTTTATGCTTGTAGGCTATGTTTTACAGATAATAATTACACAATTTTGATTTTGTGAACCAACAACGCTACAGCAGCATCAGAGCACTGGGTGTCTTAATCATGCATAACTTTATTTTAATATTAATTGAATTGGACCCAGGATGATTATGAAAGAAAACTCTGCTGTTGCTAACGAAACTTTCATGCGCATCTGATTGACAGATAAACCACATGCTCTTATTTCAGTGTTGTTTTTTATTTTGATGATATTTCAGCTAACAGTTTGCTTTGTACATTCAGTTCAACAACATTAAGTTAAAAACTGTATGCTTGCCACACCACAGAGTGCCACTCACATAGTTTACCATTAAATCACATTTTATTTGTCCCAAATTGTTTTTAATGTACATAATGACTTCATCCTAGGCTGGAAGACTGTTGGTTGTGCATCTTTCTGCACAACGTTTGTCTTTCTGTTCGTATGCTTTATATAGAGTTAATAATAGCCATAGATCACCCTTTCTTTTTCCGTTTGCTCTGTTTTGTCAAACATTGTATTTCAAACTCATCGACACAACTTTAATTCCTGAAGTGAAGTTTTATATGAACTGTTATGGACTGCTGTCTTGAGTTGTTGTAAATGTGGCGCTGCACTTCTCACCCGGTATACGACTGCCTTATGTCCATATTCCGCCCATGTATTAAATGTGCATCCTTGAAAGCGCACAGTTTATAACGAATTTGCTTTAACTTCTTAGGTAATATCAATAGTATGACATATTTCAGATGCGTCCAAAATTACAAAAGCATATACATATATTTTAATTTTTTGAGAAAATGTAGGACAGCATACAACCACTGAGGGCAGAAAATATGGCAATGCAGGACTGTCAATCAGCCGCCGTGGCCCAGCCCTATGCAATGTGACGTCATATTGCTTAGAGAATCCAAACGGCAGGCCTACACTCTAAAAAAATGGTGCTATATAGCACTAAAAGTGGTTCCCCTATGATTACAAGCCAAAGAACCACTTTTAGTGCTATATAGCACCATTTTTTAGTGCTATTTAGCACCTATTTCTACAGGTGCTATATAGCACCTTTGTCAAATGGTGCCATGTAGAACCATAAGAGGTGCCATATAGCACTTTTTCTCAACAATGGTGCACCAATCATAACTCATCCATGGCTCCCAGCATGCGTTGCAACATGAATAAATTATGCAGCTGCATTGTCTTAGTATTTTCTTTTATTCTTACTATTTGCTTTTGTTGTGATTTTTTACTGCCCTGTTTTGTGATGTTCAAAAATCATATCAAAATTATCAGAATGTTTTGCCACCATTGCTGAGATTCACATGCTGATTCTTCATGTCTATGAGTGACAGAACTGAAACCTCTTTATTACACATAATTCTAAAAGTGGTTTATGCAATTTTCTCACATTATCACGTAGTATCGTGGAACTGCAATAATATAAAACTCATAAAAGAACTACAGATTTTGAGAAAATGCAACCAGAGACTCAGATGCACGAAATGATTTTACCATAAGTTCCTTGCCATCACATATGTGCTTTATTAACACTATTGTAACAGCCAAAGAGAAACGTATTTTAACTTAAAATCAATGTCAAGGGTCAAGAGGCAACTAAAGCAAACACTATTCACCAAAACGGTAAGTTGAAAAGCAAACAAACATCTAAACCTTAATTCTCAATAAAGAACTTCTGTTTTAGATACTCCAGAAATAAAGTCTAACTGGTCAGTAATGTGTGAAGTTGGTGTTGCTGTTTGTGGAGAGGTCCTTTTTTTCTGAGGTCAAAGGTCTCATGTGGGGGCCCTGGAATATTTCCTTATGGGGGCCTTGGGGGCAAAAAAAATTATATCTTCAAGAAATAGATTGTATTTTAATGTTGTTTTAACCCTTTCCCCAACTAAACTAAGAGACTAGGAAAGAGTTAAAGAACCTTTAAAGAACTATACAGGGGCTTACAGGTTTTATGGTAGTGGTGCTATATAACACCTCATCGACTCCAAAGAACCGCTGAAGAACCATACAGGGGCTTAACGGGTTCTTAATACGGTAGTGGTGCTATATAACACCTTAACCACTCCAAAGAACCGCTGAAGAACCTTTTTTTTTTAGAGTGTAGTGAGACTGATTTAGTTTAATGAGGATTAAAAAATAAGGAGTGGGTGGATTTTTATAATTGTTGGGTGGTTGTGTTCACACTGCCAACACACATTTATGTTCAAACACCATGTAAAAGTTCATTTTGCATAATAGGTGCCCTTTAAATTGCAGTGTTGTTCATTTCTTTCTATTTACATTCTGTGATTCATTGTTTTCTTACAGGAAGAAATATGGACATCACATGATCTGAGAGGATCCCACAACATTATTTCAGTTTAAGTAAATCGACAAAAAAGTCTATTTCCATAAGCAACTGAACTTAACAATTGAACTGTAACATCAAAATACTTTGCAGACCTTTCAAAACTTTACCTATGGAAATATTAAAATCACTTGTTACTAGAAGCATAGATCATTTTAACATTTGATGGTCATTGTTTTGTAATATTATTATCTAAATGTCTTTATTTTTGTGTGAGGGATGTTACTGCTGGGCTATTTTAATCCATAAATATGTATTTGCAAGCACTGTAAACTGGGGGAAATAAAAATGTGGGGGTGGGACTTGATTTTGGAATTGACTGGATAGTTGTAGTTTGCTATTGCTGCAGTCACATGAGAGTGACAGGTTATTGTCCCACCCTCATGCCAGTAAACAGTTAACTAGGTGATGGGTAAATGAAGCCTCATGTAGCACTGAGGCTTTCCTCTGACTGTTTCGGCATAAAAAATAAAGCAGTCAAAAGCCTGTGAAAGATATGGAGTCAATATAATGCCACATATATATGCAAAACAATAAAGTTTTGCAAACGAAAATAAAAGTATTGAGAAAAAATAAATGTGTTTTTTGCAAACAAAAATAAAGAATTGCAAAAGAAAATGAAGTATTGCGAGAAAAAAAAGAGGTTTTGCAAACAAAAATAAAGAATTGCAAAATATAAATCAAACAGCACAAAAGCCATGATTTTGCAATACATATTTTCCATGGCCATATCTACTAATTTATTTGCAACGCTGCTTTTATTTTGCATTTCAGTCAAGTTTGAGCTTGCTATACGTTTTTCCCTTTGCGCTTCACGTTTCTGCGCGTCTCGCTTTCTGGCACTGTTTTGGCATGGGGGTGGAGTCAAGGGACGGGGGCGTGTACAACAGGCCTGGGCACGCCTCCCTGGAAGTGACGTCATTGGCCCGAGAGCAGCTCACTGATCCAGGCACCATCATTAAGAAGTTGTTAACATGAACATCTGCTGTTTACTTCTCTCAATGTGCACACTTTTATAGCATTAAAATGTGTATCGTTTCATTTGGTTAACTTAATGTGTTTGTTTAAAATCTCTTAACCTGTGGGAGGACGCCAGCACAGAAGCGTTATTTGTTTACATGAG